GTTTTGGATTCCTCTCAGCATCCTTGTGCACTGTGTGGTGAGTAAGCTCCTTAAGATGACTGCTCTGTTGGATTGAGCTGCAAGAGAACACCTTTCATATATGAAACGGCAGATGTCTGTGGGAGAAGGTGATGTCAAGCTCTTAGCAAACCCCAGTGGGGAATCCAGTGTATGTAAGACTTACTGCTCCTTCAGTAGGTAAAATTCCTGCTAAACTCTGCCAGGTTCTGGCAGACCCAGACCCAGTGCTCCCATGATGGGAGCCCTTCCCGTTCTTTCCTAGGCTGTCTTTCTTCCTCTGCTTCCTGAATTCTACCCTACTGTAATTCTGGTAACTTCCATTAAAGTCAGTTTTCCAAAGCCCTGCTAAGAAGTAAGACAACCACGTTTTGTGGGAAGATCCAGAGAGGGAAGTGGTCTTGGTTGAGCTTGGGTAGATGGATAAAGAGAGCGAGCTCCTGGCAAGCGGGAGCATGGGCATGTGGCATGATGCTGACAGTGGTGTGGGGTTAGTGCGCAGGGTTCTGTGTCCACACGCGCTCCTGGGACGGGTGGGAAAGCATGGGAAAAGAGCCCCACACATTGCTGTGTTCTTGCAGGACAGAGGCACAGGGACCGTGCAACTGGGAATCTGACTTTCTTATTTTTTGTGTGTGTGTTTTGGTTTGCTTTCATTTGTTTGTTTTCCAATAGGACAAGAAATTGGACAAGCAGTACGAGGAGAACACAAAGTCCCTGTTTTGCCCCAGTGTAAGTTGGTCTGAATACAAACTGGCAGAAAGCTATCCCGTGCGTGTTAGGAAATGTGCACCTAAGGTGTGTGCAGAGTATTTGTCAAAGAAGTGATAGTAGAGAGTCCCGGAGCCCCGTGCTTCCTGCTGCCCGTGATGAATCGGTTCGAGGGGAAGCTGTTTTCTTGAACAAGCCTGTGTTTGGTGCATCAAGCACTGCAGCTCAGTGGGCTGTTTCTTCCTTCCTGGAAGAGCTGTGCCGTGACCTTGTTGCCAGAGCAGCTCTCTTGCCACAGCTCCCTCCTGGGCAGGAAGCCACTCTGCTCTTGTGGAGCACTGCTGCAGGCACCTGCGTGCGGGGTCCCCCCAGCACATGTCACTTGGCAGCTTCACCCACAGGCCGCTTGTTCCTGGGCAGGTGGTGTCAATGGAGCACGAGGCTCAGCGGGGCCGTGTCTGTGCTGCAGAGGGGCTGTTTGCAGGAGTTGGCTTCTAGTGGCCAGATGTGCTGAAGCCTTCCAGCTGTTTATGCTCAGGGTGCAGGGACCCATCAGAGACACTTCTCACCGTTGTAGATACTGAGCTGGGAGAGGGGAAGAGCAAAAAAGCATCTAGATAAACTTTAATTACAGTCCAGCACCAGGCACCTTCTGCTGTAGATCCTGACGACCCAATTCTCACTGATAACATTCAGTTAAAGAAATGTTGTTTTGTAATGGAAGGGGAACAAAGCCTTGTAGAACTTTCTCGCACCACCACTGAGGGAAGCATACTGAAGTCAACAACCACTGAGGCAGATTGCCTCTGTCATCTATTCTCACGTAACTGAGGGTGATCTTTAAGTGTCCCAGAGCTGGTCATGAGTGCCATAAAAAACGTCACCCTGGAGCTTTATACCTGAATTCAATCAAGAAAACCCCAGAAGCAGGTGTAGCAACAGAGCACAGGTACAGTTAACGGGCTCCTCGCACCAGGGGAGGATGCAGTAGACTTTAAACTGCTCTAACAGGAGTGCAGCTGCTCCTCAGAAAGTGCGCGTTCCTTCTGAACACAGGGCAAAACCCGAACCCCAGACTAGATGTGGTGACGTGGCTGCTTGTGCTTTGCAGAACGTGGAGATGCTCAGCAGCCTGGACTCTGCCTCCGTTCGGATCATCAAGCCCTTCCCTGCGGCGCAGTCGACGAGCCGGCACCAGCCGCTGCAGCCCATCACAGCCGTGCCCGCTGTCACTGCAGCACCGAAACAGGACCACCAAAGAATGGACACTATTCAGGAGGACCCAAGCACTGACTCTCACATCGATGAGGACGGGTTTGAGAAGGACCCTTTCCCAAATAGCAGCTCGGCCGCCAAATCTTTTGAGGACTTGACAGACCATCCTGTCATCAGGAGCGAGAAAGCTTCATCCTTCAAACTGCAGCGCCAGAACCGGGTGGACAGCAAAGAAACAGAGTGCTAGTGTCTTGCTGCCTTCTAAATGTGTGACTTGTGTCTGCAAAATAAGGATCTAAAACCATTTCATTTATATAAATATATGTATATATATTTTTGTGAGGGAGTGGGAGAAATAAGGAAGTGACCTACTGCAGATGCTGGTCATGTGTATGACCTTCCTTAAATTACATTTATTAGAGCATTATATCTTTTAAAAAGGAAAATCCAAACTCAGACGGGCTTGTATGTGAAGCTTTTTGGATTTGTTTTTCTACTTCCTTGACCTTTAACATTTCCTTCGACCTGTGGTGCAAACCCAAATATCCTGCTGGATATTGGATTGTGTATATCAGCCTTTTTTATAACTTAATATTTTGTAGTCTGACAGCACTGATAGGCAAAATTAAGGGGCTTGCAAAAACATGATGAAAACACTGCTGTACGTTCTATATAGAGTAGATCATTTAGCAGTTTAAGGTACCTGTGAGCAAAAGCCTAAACAGATGCTTGAGAGCAGAATGAGAGTAGTGGTCTCAGAGCATTGAATGATGATGTGTAATTGGAATCAAGAATCTTAACACATACAGCTTCCAAAGAAATAAAAAGAGTACAGGGAGGCTGTTAAACTTTGTGCTGCATGGAAATGCCCCTCCAGCACGAAACTTGTGTCTCTAGCAGTGAGGTTGTCTTGTCTCCGTGGCAGAGAAAGGCTTTCCATGGGAGTTTCCCACTCTGCACTTGTGTGTCGCAGGTATCTGGTAGGAGAAGTGTAGGGGGAGAGAAACCATTTATGTGGATAAGCACAGTTACAGGCAGCTGTTTGTAACAGCTGTTTTAGGGCAGAAATGTTCCCCCAGATGTTACTTGGAAATAACCAACACTATTGTTGAGATGTTCAAAGAGCTGAGCCTCAAGCTTTCTGTGGCCTGTGTGGCCTTCGGAAGCTCCTACTGTGTCAATGGAGGAGGGTGGAATTCACTCAACTGGTTTGGGGGGATGCATTTGTTTAAAAATAATTGTGAGTAATTAAAAAATAAATGAACCTTTGTTAAACTTACAGGGCAGGTGTAAGGAGGAGACATCGTGAGTTCAAATTCCCACCCAGGTGGTAAAATGTGATGTTCAAAGTAGGTAATTCAACAGTATCCTCTGGCATGGCTGGAGACCTGTAGGGTGAGCGGGACTGGCACGGGAGTGACACAGCGGAGTCACAGAGCAACTGTCATGGTAGTAAAGCAGCATCTTAGTTCTGCATCTGTTCTCTCCCACAGTGATGTGTGGGTAAAACTGACCTAAAACGTGATAGGGTAGAACCATTTGAACTGTTACAAGCCAGAGCTCAGCTACAGGGGAGATGGATTTATACGTGAGGGGAAGGAGCTGCCGCGGTGCAGAAGGGACGGTGCGAGAACCCCTCTCCTCCCCGCCGCAGACACTTGTTACACTAATACTTGAACCTTGTGTGCCTTACGGTATTCCTGTCTGACTAGCTATTGTGTTTTATATACAGGTTTTGAACTTTGTATGGGGGTTTTGTTGTTGTTGTTGTTTGGGTTTTCTTTTTTTGATTCAGTGCAAAGTCCACGTGTGAGGAGTTAATTTAATTCCCAATACAATAAAAGCATTTTATATTAAAAAAAAATACAGTTAAGAGCTGTTTCTGCTCAAGTTCTTTTAGAAAAGATCTAAACTCTTCAGTGAAACCCTGAGTGAGGGGTCTGGCATACAGTTATTTCTGCACCTGTAGGGCTGCCCTGCTTCTGACCAGGAATGGCAGCAGTTTCACCATGAGTCCTGTGGGTTAGGGTCAGCTCTGATGGCGATATTCACATCTGAGGTGTGGGAGTATGCTCACATGCTTTATCAGGTAGGAAGTCTGTAAGTATGTGTTCTCAGCACTGAGAGCTTCCCAAAAGTGGCAGGTGCTCAGGAGCAGGAAAACTGAGGTTTGGAGCAGGCCCTGGGAATCCATCCTCTAGTCTGAACCATAGCCCTGAAGCTGCAAAACTGGTGTCTGGAGCCTCGGAGGCTGGAAGAGCTGCAGGAAGCCCCTGTCCCGGTCCAGCCAGTCTTTACTATAAGCATTTATTACAGGCAGGACAGTCCAGTTTAAGAGTCATAAATACTTAAAAATCAAACTTGCTTCTGGTCTAGCTCCAGGCACAGGAAAAATAAGTACTTGTGCTCCAGTTTGTAACACTGCTGCACAGTGGATGCTGGGTCCTGGCCAACTTGTCCTGGTTATTTAATGGAGCAAAGGCATCTGCATGGCACTAACCACTCTCTCATCAGGCTCTGCCCTGCTTTGCAATCTGTGCCTATATGCAAGAGCCAGGTGTAAAGAAGCTGGTGCCCAAATACGTTAAACACCCCCCTGCTCTGAACTACACTCTCTCACTATCAAGTGCCTCACTAAAGCTCAGGTAACTGCTTTCACTGCTGTATTCCATCCAAACAAATTAATCTGAACTGACATTAATGGCTCCTGAGAGCCTCCACGCTGCCTCTTACCAGCTCCTAGGTGTTTAAAGCTAATAGGTGATACTAATGGCAGCATAGTGCCCAAAGCTCAGGGCAGCCTCTGTGAGAGACTCATTTTCTTCCAAATCTTCCAAGGAAGGAGCTGGTCCTCGCCATGGATACTTACACTACCAGCACAAGCAGCATGTTGATGAGCCACCCCATGACACAGCCAGAGCGGTCATATCTTTTATTCTCCCACAGCCCAAGAGAAGGGGACTGGGCAGAGCAGTGTCAGGGGACGCTCCTTCCCCAGGCATGCAGTAGCTGCTCACAAGCAGGCAGGCTTTGTCCAGCAAGGCTGCTTCAGCTCCTCACTGCAGGGCTTCTGGCAGAAGAGTGGCCTCGGGGTGCATGTGGTCCACATCACGCCAGTATGGAAGCAGGAAAGGAAGAGCTGACAGTTTCTTTTCCAGGCGTGACCACAGTTGTGCTGCTAGAAAGCTATTGCCTCTTGGTGATAAATGAAGACCATCAGACAGATAAGAAGAGAAATCCTGCAGGGGAGGTTAAAACGTGTCAGTGTATTTGCTAGTTGCAAATAGAAGGTCTTGAGTAACTGTTAAATTCTTCAGAGCCAGCTGGATTACGAACTGGGTTTATTTTTCACCGTTTGTATTAAAGTATTACGAGAACGTTCTGATGGCCAAAGGCACTGCTGTTCATCAAGAAAAGATCATGGAATTAAGTAGTGTAATCAAAATATTGAGTCTACTGCACTACTGAACAGTCAACTGCACCAGGGAGTGTGGGAGAGAGGAAAGCTCGAGTGTCCAAACTGGAGTTATCCTCCTACAGGAAAAGCCTGCATCCCCTGTCACACAGATGAGTGTGGGTATTTGGTCAGATACATCAGTGAGGCCCCGGTGCAGCCCCACCTCACACTGACATTACCCCAGTGCTGTGCAGGTTGCCCAGAGAAGCTGTGGCTGCCCCATCCCTGGCAGTGTTCAAGGCCAGGTTGGACAGGGCTTGCAGCAACCTGGTCTAGTGGAAGGTGTCCCTATCCCTGGCAGGGGGTTGGAACTAGGCCCTTCCAACCCAAACCATCCTGTGATGCTATGAAAAGGTTATTTACAAGTAATGCTCCCAGGGGACATTTACTAAGCATATATAACAGCCAGGTTGTGTTAAGCTTTTTTTCTCAAAGCCCACTATGAAGCTTTCTGGATTATTTTTTCCCTTCCCAAAGTGTAATTTGGATGTATTACGATCATGTAGCACTACCAGTGCCTCTAAGCTATATGATGCACTTCACAACTCATGACGGTTTCTAAGTCTTTCTGACATCATACCTGATTGTTCTGCATCAGTGTCCAGAGGTCGACTACATCAGTTCCACAGTCCCTAGCGACCTGAACACAGGCCTGGGCATACTCCCCAGTGGTTGCATTGCAGCGATTCAATTTGTCACCTATCCATCAGAGACAAAGAAAACATTTAGCAGTTGTGACTGATCCACCCTGATTTCAGTCCTCTGCAGCACACACAATGTATACCAATTTGTTAAACCAACCCATATATCATAGAATCACAGAATAGTTAGGGTTGGAAAGGACCTTAAGATCATCTAGTTCCAACCCCCCTGCCATGAGCAGGGACACCACACACTAAACTGTATGTCGCCCAAGGCTCTGTCCAATCTGGCTTTGAAATATATATAACCAATTACAAACCAAATCAGAAGCATGTAGATTTCAGTGGCTGGAAGCTAAAGCTTGGTGAGTCTCTTTCAGGGCACCTTGTGGTTTTGAGGCATTTGAAAACATGTTTCTTGTTAACAGATGTGCAAGAGGTGAGAGAGGCAATAGGCATACAGGGTAAAGGTGTGCTGCTCACAGCTTCCACCTTCCGGCAAGCTGTGACTAGCACGTGGAATAGAGCGAAGGAAATGTAAATCTATTTACAAGCTTGCCTTCTGCTTCTTGGGTGACATCCAACATTTAACATCTCCTTGCAGTAGTCTCACATGTAGATCCAAAGCTTGATTAGCACCCACAAATGGTACCTTTGTGCGTGCAGTTAACTGGGAGCTGGCCGGTCAGCCTGTGCCCAGTGCCAGCAGTTCTGCATGGAGCACAGGGAAACTTTGGGGCAGGATATCATTAAGTTACCCTTTTTTTTAATGGGACCTATAATGCAATTGTTCAACTCCTACTCTACTCCCTCCTTGCATCTGATGATTCCCACCTCTTCACGCTGCCACCTCCTTCCTACCACCATTTGTTTTCATCATCAAAATAATCCTGGCAGCCCCACTGGTCCTTCCCCACAACTGTACATTTCCTACCTCCTCCTTTCTTTAGCTTTCTTCCTAGTTTAACTCACCCATGGACTGAGTGGCCCTTCAGCTCACTCAGCCTCCACCACGCAGAGCTCCCTTTGTTGCCATGTTCCCTGTGATGGTGTCAGTCTCACCTCCCCAGGTGAGGTCCTGCAGTCCTGCCCCTTCCTGGTTTTATGACTTCTATCCTAGCAGAGTTGATAACTCTCCCTTTGCCTTTTCTTTCATTGCTAGCATTACTTCCTGACTGTTTCATCTCCTCTTCCATTCTGGAAGTGCGCACACACGTGCTCTCAATGTGCAGCTCTGCAGAAACATGTGCTGGGTCTGTAAGTGAAGAGCAGCAGGCAAAGGAAGCTCAGGGAACATGGGGGTATGCTGGGGGACCAAGAAGGCAACCTAGTGATTTATCCTGACCTGCACATCCCACCCTGCCTTGTGACAGCCAGCAGTGGGGAGCAATGGCTTAGGGGAAACTCAGAGACACCAGATGATAGATACATCTGGGTGTGTGGGACTGACCTGGAGGAGCTGCCCGTTGCCCTGGTCAGGTCAATGCCTTCCGCCTACAGAAACTCACAGCTCACAGGAGCCCTGCAGTGACTGGAAGAAGGTTCACATCACACCCAATCTCAAGAAAGACAATAAAGGACCTGGGGAACTGTTTATCACTCAGCCTCACCTCAGTGCCGGAAAGATAGTGGGGTTACCTCCTCTTGGGATTCATTTCCAAACACATGAAGGACCAGAAGGAACTATCAACACAAACCTAGCAAAGCCAGATAGTGCTTGACCACCCAATTCCCTTCTGCGATGAATTAATGGCTACACAGATGACGAAGAGCAGCTCTGACCTTAGTAAGGGCTTTGACTCCGTCTCCCACAGCACTCTGACTTGGAAGCTGAGCTTCTTTTTGCGCCTCTTTTCACACCTGGATGGATGTTCCTGTGAACATCATCACCTCTCCTTTGCTGTAATATTCTAACTGACAAAACCAGAAATAAACACATTTCCCCTGGATACTAGCTGAGGGCAGATGATCTGATAATGCCACTAACTGTGCCCACAATATTCCATTTGTGGTGCACAGTCTGAGACCACCCTGTCTTTCGTTCCATCCCTAGACAGCAATCTCTTTTAGACAGATGCTGTCAGATTCAACACTTTAAGTGCAAGTTTCTTCCCTCTCTACCCCCTAAAAAAGGTAGTTGTAAGATGAAAATTAATTAACAACATTTTAGAGGTGTTACTTGATAGCTAGGAGCCAGATAAGCAGCATTCATCATGTACTCACCTAACATTGCAAGAGGACAATATGGATCCATGTGTTGCAAACTAGGGCTATAGTGGGAGCTGGGCACACACAGAGGAAAGGCTGCTCTGTGCCTACCTGCCCCTTTGTCCCTATCCAAGGATCTACTACTGCCACATACATCAAGTCTGATGTCTGACCTGCTACAGCTGCTACTGTCTTACACAGCTTGTATTACTCTTTGGAGGACTTTCTCTCCTTTTCTACATTAAATACAAAAACTGCCTCACTGGATAAGTCTGAAAGTCCAGAGTCTGTATTTACCTGAATCTAACTCAAAAGTCTTTTATAAATGCGCAAGAAGTGGACAAGTCCCAAAAGAGGACTCGTTCTCAGGAGGCATAAACTGTCGCTGCTGGAGTCAGTGGGATTATGGCAATTTCCACCAGCAGCACAGTATGAAGTAAGCAGTGCTCTTATGTCTCTATTTTTAGAATTACCTTGAACAACATCATAATGAAAAATCATTTAATCACTTTTTGCTTCCTTCCCAGGTACTTTTATTAGCATCCTTAGATTACAACATCCTTAGGGAGGGAGGTGTAAACTTAAAATAAACCTGGCTAGGATATTACTGTTTATTCAAATAGATGGCAAATACACTGTGACTATTGTAAATTTTTCTAAGGCACACAATGCCAGAATTTCTTCCATAATTCAGGTTATTTTGGGAGCTGCCAGGACATGTTGCAGTCTGCCTAGGACATCTCAGCAAAACTTGTGTCCTCAAAGGGCAGACACTTCTGCCAGTTCTATGCACAAACAGTTCTATCAACACTTTCAAAAGGATGCTACTGATTAGTTTGTAGTTACTCCACGAGCTTGTCTGAAAGTTCTTTAGCAAGCCAGCTACTAGTCCTGTTTTCCATCAGCTCTAAGAACATCGTTGCAATCTGGCATAAGCACGAAGTGAATCACCTCTCAGCCTGGGATCAGGAACTTGCACTCTGTTGGTAAAATGCTGAGGTTCTGCCCATCCACGTAACTCTTACCTTTGGCAAGACACTCCTTTTCCCAAGCTGATTCCTGAAGAGGTGGTGGCGTTATCAAAATAATCCTGTCTTCAGTAATATCTACTGACTTGAGATACTGTATCATGCTCCTCAAGTTTGCAGCGTACTCCTCCAAAGGAACATGTTGCTTCGGGTTCAGATCTGTTCAGGGATGGAGCACATGCATTAGTGATGTTAAACTGCTCACAGGTTTATTACATGGTACAATGTGCTTTGAACACAGCATATGAATGTGGGCACTTATTCTGAGTACGCAGGTCACCTCAGCCACTGGTGCAGGAGGTGTGGCAGGAAAACACTGTTCCTCAACATCCAAAGCAGACAAATCAAGATCTTAAACACAGCACTTTCACCTAACACAGACAAGGCACAGGGAAAACAAAATACAATGAAAAATAATTTCTTTTTAGATGCTTTTTCTTACAACTGCATATCTTAGTTTTCGATCACATAATCACCTCAAACCTCACTGAAACAGAACCTAAGATTTTTACCCCCCTTGGATGCAGAGAAAATTGGGAAAATTCCCATGGATGTCGAGTCAGTCCTTCATGCACTGATGTGATCATTTTGATGAGACAAGCTCTGCATGCTGCTATGCTTATCTTAAAGAGAATCCAAATGCTCATTCCTTCCTTCATTTCCTCAACCAAGAACTCATCAGCCTGCTTTAAAGGCAGAAAAATCAGCAGGGTGCCTAACTCCGATTTTAGGTGATGGATACACGACTGATTCTTGAGCACCTTGAAATTTACTTCTGATAGTAAAACTTGGCAAGAGGGAGAGGAATAGAAGGCACTGAATGGTGTAAATACAGATACGATTGAAAACAATCCAGTGTAAAAATGAAGAGAGGGCAGCTGGTGCCAGGAAAGTCTGTGGTGTTCTGCCTTCCCTGTAAAACTGTCTTAAGAGTCATGGGGTTAGGGAGGGAAGGCACAGTACCTTTCAAAGCACTGTCGTTAGCTCCAAAGAAAATAGTAACTGCAACAGTACTCTCAGCACCAGCACTTTCAGTGATCAGCCTCGGCAAGATCAATTTAGCCCATCTGGTGTTGTACCCCGAGAGTCCGCGGTTCACAACATCACATTTTCTGAAACAGAAACACGTATCAAAAAGAAGAGTCCTCCCCGCACATCAGGATAAAACCTGGGACACTCTGAAGCACTCTGCCAGGATACCTGCCTCCATCCCTCTCAGAAGTGATGAGGTGTCACAGGAGTTTTCAATGGGATTATAACTTCGTGTCTTGAAAGTGCACAAACAGCAATCTTGACAATCACTAAGGATTTAAGTGTTCCAGGACCAGTTGGATGGGGCTTTGAGCAACCTGCTCTAGTGGAAGGTGTCCCTCCACAGGGCAGCAGGGTTGGAACTAGATGAGCTTTAAGGTTCCTTCCAATCCAAACCATTCTGTGTTTTTTTTTAATTTCCACTCAAATTTTGAGTGGAAAGAAACACCCAGTATTTCCACCAGTACTGGGCAGGTTACCACTAAGGCAGTTCCACTTTAATAAATTGTTAATAAATAAATACACATTAAATATTAACTTGTGTTGGTTTTCTTTTAGAAAAGCTGCACACCTTCTCGCATGCCAGACATTACTTTTGGAATTTAACCTCTTACCTGACCAGCCTCTCAGCAAGATACGCTCCCCAGCCGTTTTCCCGGAAGGAGAACTGAAAGCAAGGAAAACTGTTAGAGCCTCACTGGAAGAACTCACTCCCCAGCAAGTCACTCCCATCACCTGCATCTTCCCTCCCTCCTCAAAAGCTTTTCGCACACAGCCTCTGGCACTGCTGCAGCAACGCTTCCTCCCTCCCAGCCTGTCCTGTCCTGTCCTGTCCTGCAGAGATCCAACAGTCTGGGTCTTACGTATTCACACAACCGGCATCAGAGCAACCTGGTACCACACCTACAAAGGGACAGACCCTGTGGTCCCTTTGTCATTAAAACTGACTGCTGCCGGGCTGCAGTTTCTTTTTGGCTGGTGAGATTTGGGGGTTTAGCACCTTTTCCTAAGATCCTTTCACTGTGCCTTCATTCCAGAGAGCACCTCAAAAATCCTCTCTCCACATGCTGCTTCAGAACGCAGTTCGATGCCTACCTCTTCTGGTAGTGGAAAAACTAATCCCCTCTCTTCATTCTCACTGCTGCAGCACCCTCACTGTTCCAGTGCTGCAGTGGGTCAGTTTAGACCCTGGATCTCCCATCAAAGATAACCTTCATGTTTAGCCGAATCTTTCTGCACCAGAGCAGCTCTGTGACCTGCTCCACTGTGCAAGAGGTAGGGACACGAAATGAACACTCAAAAGCCGGTCCTGCTCACCAGAGATGTTCACCAAGTCCAGTCATGTTGACAGTGCCTCCAGGGGAGGTGAGCTCTACACAGGGCGCACCAGGAGCTGGGACCGGGATGTGTGAGGGCCACAACAGACAACAGGCCGTCCTCCCTGACTGGAAAACCACTGCCACCCACACACCAGAAGCTACACTTTCACCAAACCACACTGCTAACACAGGAACTTAAAGCTTCTCCACACACAGGCTCTAAACCTCATTAAAGACCACCAGTGCGAAAGCTCCTGAACACTCTCACGGGAGAATCACCAGGGACATTACGCCGGGCCTCCTCCCCGCCTCAG